AATCCATATCAAAGTCGATAGCATGGGAAGTGTTGTCGGATTTCTTTGAGCAAGACGTGAAGTTAATTGCATTAGAATCAAGTGTGAGTTCATTTTCTACCTTGACAGCTGACTCAATGTTTGTCTGGTTTTCAGGACTTGGTGCAGATTCGCTGCTACTAATATCACTGCCACTGATGCTCTCAGGACTTGCACAACTTGTTGCTGTACCGTTTTCACAGCTATCCGACATTAGCTTACTGTCCCCCTTCAATACTTTCAACAAATCATCTGCTGAGATGGTCGAGTCTCCTGACTCACCAACACCATTCCCCTTCTGTTTTTTTCGTCTTGGTTGGTACTTGTAATCAGGGTGYTCTCTCTTGTGTTTGATTCTSAGYCTTTCAGCCTCTTCAATGAAGGGTTTTTTTTCTGAATCGTTCAAAAGTTTCCATAGTTTCCCGAGTGTTTTACTAAGTTCGGCATTGTGTAAGTGTGGATATTGGTCGGCTAGTTTACGCCTTGCTGCCTGTGCCCATACCATGAATGCGTTCATCGGTCTTTTAACGTGAGCTTTTTGTTTATGTCCTCCATTTACTCTTACTGGGAGAGGGATCAGACTCCAGTCGTACCCATCGAGTACATTATTAACAGCTGATGCGATAGCATTGCTTAACTGGTGACTTCTAACTTGAGATGTCTCTCCATCAATTGTAGTTGGGACTGCTACGTTTTGCTCTGTCATGTTGTATCGTGTAGAAAGTAAAGGTACTTCTCGAGTCTTACATAAATCTGGTGCCAAGTTAGAGGAGATTGGCATAAATAATTCTTGACGGTGTGTAAAGTTAGCAAACCTCGCACCGGTACAGCGTGACGTTCATCTAAACACTCGCTATGATTGGCTAACTGGGAATTAATCAACCAATCAGAGCAAAGGGTCGTTCTTGCGGCGTGATGATAACATGAAGCCTGTTTTTTGATTGGCCAGTTTGCTATTCGATACGGAAAGGGTGTGAAATACGAAATGTCAAACTATCACTTCGTTTCCCGCAAGATACATACCGAAAAACCGCAAACTTTTSTAAATACACTTGARATGTTTTCTTTAATTAAGCGCGTGAGCTAACTTTACTAGTCACGCGTAACAAGACTTTGAAATGTTTGAAATTGTAACACGGCCGGCATCATAGTGGGAAAATTAAGTGACAAACAACTCACCCGAGAGATCGTGATTGGATACGAGGTGTGTTTACGTGCTTCATGGGTAAAGCATCTTGTGTAGGCAGTCGCAGACAAGATTAACGTAAAAACAGGACTTGCGTCCGAGACGCGAGGGCGAACATTACAAACCTAGATGAGTTTCCATGCTAAAAATAAAACGTCTGCGATAATCGTGACAACATTTGATTCCAATTTCAGTGTGACTTTTGGTTGACCTCTGGGAAACACCTCGCTCATTTCTTGCGTGCATAGACTGGCGGTTAGTCGTGTACGCTAATTCTATCYCTTTTTCGAGATATTTCCGACAAYGTCTTTTTAAAGACCGAATATGCMAAAATACCAAAGTACCAATGATTCMGTTATTGGTTATTAAAAACCCGGTTAAAAATAATTGCACAAAATGTAAACGTTCCACAGAAAGGAACAGCATAGCAACGATTATTGCATTTTGCAGCTATTTGCTCAGTATATTTATTTTCAACCTTGATAAATATTTTGCATGTAAAAAGATATGTGAGATATCGATAGATATATGTGTGCATAGCGGAATATGTCATGTAATTATTGGYTGACATGTTCGATGACACGGAAATTCAACACCGTTAGAGATATAMGGATTCAGCAGTGTGTTGTTAAAATATGTTTATTGCAATTGGACTCAATTAATCACAACCAACCATTAAAACACAGCGATTCAAGATTTTAAAATCTTTTATCGACTGAAATCAAGGAAGATGGAATAGTTGATGAGGTGATGAAATTTATCGTCGGGAAAAAGCGCGCCAGACGGTCGGTCAAACCTTATTTCCGATATTCAAATGAGTGTCGATAGTTAAAGACGACCTTAGCTCAACACCACTCTTCACAAACAACTATTTCTGCTATTTCTACAGTTGCTTGCTACTTGATCTGATTTTACAAATTGAATATGGTTTCTATTATCAAAGCACAGCAGTCAGTAAGTGTTTTTCATACTGGGTGTTGTTTTGTTGTTCAAATTTTTCTTCTGCTACGTAGCGTATTTTTTCTGTTTGGTGTAAACATTCAAAACAAAACGTGACCGCAGAAGATCCTACGACCGGAAGCGAACCCCTTTTACTGTTACACGGTTGTCAATCTTCTTTTGTTTGACGTACTTCCGGTACAGCTCGTCGGTATATAACCGGAAGTGGAGGCGTTATGTTGATCGTTTTTAGTAAAGTATAGCGGTAAAAATTCTTGATGTAAAATGCTACAATACGGAAGCTACGTTACTCGTGGATTAGAAACACAGCTTGCTTGATTGGTCACAGTTTGAATGTCGCGACAGTAAATATGACWAATCTGCTATCGTGTGGAGTCAAAACATATACCTATGATAGTTTTCTTCATTGATTTAATTAATAATAATAACAACCAATAATAAATGTTTTTACTTCACGATGATGACGGTAATAATGMTAATGATGATGATTGSATAGTAATTATATGAACGGACACTAATAATAATAATAAAGAAATACCAATCAGAAAAAGATCATTACCAATCATCAAATAAAAATAACGGCATAAATAATGATATGGCAAAAAATCAATAAATAGTACAACTGTTGCAAAACTGCCATTCTTAGAAATCAGTGTAATCAATTAATAAGCTTCAAAGTAAAAGCGGTAAGAGTCAACGGTACACGTCTTTCTTGTTTTGAAAATGTCCAAATTTGTCGTAGCAATGTTGGATCGAATCACGAGGACAAGTAAGGAATAACATTCAAAGTATTTTAAGCATGCAATGTTGCTATAGTAACGGCATTTCAAGACAGAACCCCGCGTAGAGGGAGAATTCTAGAGTCCGGCATAGTCGTAGAATAACAGCAGTTGGCTATTTTTGAACCATGGATAAACCACAATGCACCACGCCCCGATAACATTGGGATGATAAACATCACTAATTCCTTCCTCGTTTAGAAATCATGAAAAAATATCAATTTCCCATTAGTGGGATGAAGTGGCTGTGGCTAGATTAGCCGAGAAACTTAATCGTGGTTTAAAGATCCGATCAACAGAATATAAAATGATAAGAATTTCGTTGTTCAGGAATCTACTAGAACCAAGGAAAATATTCCTGCTATCTTGGTACCTTGTGTGTCCACCTAACGCTATGGAACACTTGAAAACGAAATGTTTTAATGATTCGTTTTAAAAGTCAGACTAACCACCAGTGGAGTATATATTCAACTATTCATCTCTATTCAGACCTCATTCACTGTGATGCGCTTTCGTAGCATTTTTGTATTGCTTCTGTCCAAAAGGTAATAAAAAACATCACTGCAAAATTCAAAAACGCTACGAAAAAGCATGAGAGTTGACGTGATCTAAATGCCTCGATGATAATCTAATAGTTGAGTTTCCAGATCAATCAAAGTGTGATAGATTGAAAAAAGTGTTGTTTTTTTTACTTTCTGACGTTAACATGTTTCGGTATTTGATGGATTAGTTTGCTCAGTGCATAAGAACTTCTTATTTATCTACAACGTCGTATAAATGCCAAGAAGCGAAGGTGTGATATTTTAAGTGTTTGTTCGCTTGATTGGGACTAATGTAGCTGAAATAATTGACCGGCTAGGTGAACTGAGACAGTGTCAATCTATTCGAAAGTCATGTCCTACACGTTTCCTCTACATTAGAATTTAACTCATAATTCTGCGATATGACAATACACACATGCTGTTTTTTCCTGAGGAGAAAAGGACAGAAAAGGACGTGATGTTAACTCACTACAAGGAAAAAATATMATCTYTTTAAACAAGCTACAGTTATTCCTGATCCGGGACTCSACTCCGGACCGTGGTCGTCACCAGATTTACCACCCACTTCAGTGYTGGTTTGTAATAGGGTGTGTCTGGYATGGGTGCAAGGCGTGGTTCATGCTGTGGTTAGATGACTGATTAACACTGGTTAAAGGAGGCAGGTTCAATTGGACGCATATTTATCAATTACCAATACGAGGGTTTCATAAACCTATGAATATATTATAATCAAATGACACCCGGATATAGATGTTAGACTGCCTCTGATTGCATTGTTTGTTTCTATAAATGCCAATATCGTTCTAACCCCGGGCCGCAGCTGGGCATAAACATGCTATTGGAAAATCAGGTGTGGAATGATGATATGATTTAAGCGTTTTTAGTCTTAACCTAGAAGAACAAAAGAGAGAAAGTATTTTTAATGTTCTTCAAGGGATAGATATGCTTTTATCAGAAGTACTGTAAACACAAGGAACCACTTTGAGCTTTTTATCGTCCTGTAAAGTGGTTTTAAACCCGTTTAACAATCTTAGTTGTGTGTGCTCTGGATTGCCCTGGTGCAGTNAAATCCAATGGACCGTCCCTTAGACATTAATTTGCCCGCCTTCCGATTGACTGTGCTGTTTAGAACAGTTCAATAAAACCAACCTAAATGGAATTATTTACTGATGCATCAATTGAAAGAGATTTAGGCGAAGTTTACTGGACTAATACTTGACAAATAGCTCAGCATGCTTGGACAATAAAACGTTGTCATTATTATGTTTATGTGGCTTCASAGAGCCCCAGGATGAACTTCTTTTTGTTTGTCGTTTGTACCGTATATTGATGTCTTTTGACCTCCAGCAGCTAAAAACTGTAATTTCTTCACATGATACTAATCTTTTTCTCGGCTAGAGGTTGGAACTTGTASAAGTATTTAAATTACAGTCACATGTGAAAAGTGCTGTGCTGGCCCAGAGTACAAAAGAACTGTGTTTTTGATGCAACAATGGGTGCTTTATCTGCCAGAATGGTAGTAATGTGACCTACTCTATTGTTTACAATCAATCGACCAATCACATCACAGGACACTTCTTACTGCCGAATTGACTTCATTCACATCTGAAAAGGTAGAATACAGTTTTAAATAATTTGAAAACTACAATGCCTTTGAATGGAGCATAATTCACATACTATGCGTGGAAGGTTAGAGCTAAGTTATATGTAATGGTTCGATGGTTTGGTGAGGAAGTTCATTATGACTGCCGCCTGGTGTGACCTTGGTTTGTTTGACSGTCAGACTTTGGAAGTTTTACTCCAGAATCCGCTTCAAAACGTAAATGGCTGAAGTTCCTCTGAGTAATTTCTCTTCTAAGATGAAGTTTGAATGCAAATCTTCGACTTTATTTGCAGCKCTTTACAAAAAGATTACATGACCTGCCACCGACCGCGTCAAACCATTTGTGGTAGGTACGACTAACCAGTAAATTATTATTAAAACTTTACGAGAATTTCAATGTGAAAATATATCAGATATCTAGTCCTTTACTTGTGTTCGTAAACTGTGTGTTAAGTAAAGATTTACTGCTGTAATTGCTAAGTTGTGCTYAGTGTTGTGGCTGATTCAACCGCTTTATTGGAGCGCTGTYGACAAGTCTTCATTGTTTGTAAAAGCAAGCACTAACTTATAGCATCAGTTAGCTGTGTTTCAAATATATGAGACATAAAAAAATTACTTCTTTTCTTATTAGTATTCCTTATAGACTTTCAGATTAAGTTATAAAGCAACAGGGTCAAGACTAAACTCAAATCGCCGAAAAAAAAGGATAACGTAAACGTTCAGATTAAAATTTCAAGTCCTTAGTCTCACAAACTCTGGTTTTTATATCAAATTCTAAGATTTCCAATTCCTCGGATTTCCTTCCTTAAAGCTCAATCTCATGTAAGGCATTTACCGGAATGCTGTGGTTTTTCTGTTTCTAGGCCTCCATTTTGTTTAATATCGATCACTGTGACTTTTCTTCCATCATTTTTATGACTTACCCTTGTTGAGCAGTTTGCCGCGTTATTTATAATTTTTCTTCATTTCTAATCTATTAGTACCATGTTTTATTCGAAACAATTCAAGCTTACCCTATTGTGTTTGACATCTTTTTATTTTAGCCATTGCCTTCAAAACATAAGTTACGCTCTATCGCAACAAAAAAAGTTAAAATTGATTCTGAAGTCAATCACAAGGATGTCTATGAAGCCACAAACAATTCTAAATGCAGTCTAAATGTTCTTAATAAGTTTTCAAATAAATCAGTTTTAATGTCTTCATTTATTATCAGTTGCGTTCGAGTTGTTTGAACTAGAACCTGATTTAATTTCTACAGTGCTTTTTACGAAAATGAAATAACTTCACCTGCTCTTCTACCTCGAGGTAAATGAGCTCGTAAATTAGCCAACTGTTGCCCAGCAATACGAAGTGCAATCTTGAGTATTGGGGTATCATTTCCCGGTATAGATAATTTAAGTTCTATTCAATACATTTTTCTTCTTCTTCATAAAAATCAACCTTAAACTAATTCTGGTATAAATAAGAGACATTTTCAGGCATGTTTAAGGTATATGGCATTAGAACGTTAGTTACTTCGCGCCACGCCCAATTAATTGGGACGTCTCGGGAAAACAAGGCACGGTTTCGTACTGAAGCTTTTTGTACAAAATGATTTGGAMTGTAATTTTGAATTAAGGCATGTTTGCTGTTTTATTGACGAAAAAGAAAAGAAGAACGATGCAAAATGCGCGACTTTATTTTGATTCGTGTGAGAAACATATATTATGTTTTGTTCTTGCCTTCCTGTTCTTCCAAAAACTGTTTTCAGAGATAAGCTATCTCTATATGTCCACGTGACTTAGTTTTGAGAATGACGTATGAATGATTGATGGCTGCTCTATGCTGATTCACCGCTGATCACTTCTCGTATTGCACTGCGCTCTGATCAGCTTTGTCACGCGTGCTAAGAAAACGTACATTCGCACTAAATTATGAAACGCATATTTTTTGAATGCCAGTGTAATCACTGCGTGACTGCAATCTTTGTGTAACACTAGCCTAATGGCTGCGTGACTAGCCTAATTACGGCATGATTACAATCTTGTGTAACACTAATCTAATCACTGCGTGACTGCAATCTTTGTGTAACACTAGCCTGATGGCTGCGTTACTAGCCTAATCACGGCGTGACTGCAATCTTGTGTAACACTAATCTAATCACTGCGTGACTGCAATCTTGTGTAACAGACGGCGTGACTGCAATCTTGTGTAACACTAATCTAATCACGGCATGATTACAATCTTTGTGTAACACTAACCTAATCACTGCGTGACTAGCCTAATCACGGCATGACTACAATCTTGTGTAACACTAACCTAATCACTGCGTGACTGCAATCTTGTGTAACAGACGGCGTGACTGCAATCTTGTGTAACACTAGCCTAATCACAGCGTGACTACAGTCTTGTGTAATACTAGTTTACTCACGGCGTGACTGCAATCTTTGAAATAGTTGGCCCAACAAGAAATTATAGTGTTGGACAAATTTTTATTCCAAAGCTCCTCCCCATCCGCAAAATATCAATGTTGTGAGTGCAGAAAAGGTTTATGGGTAGTCGGTCTATGGGCGAGAGACCRTTGGATCAATCGTTGATTCCGAAGACTGAACTACTGTAAACTTCTCTCCGCAATTTGATTGCTAAACTAGAAATACGTACGTTCTTAGTGTAGGTTTAGCAGTCGAAGATTGCCATTTGATTCCGTGCTTGATGTTAGACAACAAACCCAGCCGCGAGACGATTGCTCAATTCATGTTTTAGTTTACAGTCAATTTCGCTTATACCTGTCGACAGACATACCAGAATACAACTTATATTGTTTCTAATGAATGTTGGGATCCCTTTATAAATGGCAACACAGGCATCCCGTGACTTAAGGCTTCGTGAGGTTATCAAAGAAAACTCGTTTGTCATGACWGTTTCCTGAGGAAAACTAGACCAAATAATCATTACAGCACTAAATGCCTTATTTATATGAGGAATGTTTAGATTTCATTGGATCTTTATTATTATTTTGAATCCGTATCGGTATAGCGATAGCTGGTGGATATTCCCCATGCAGTTCCATAATTCATGGACTTTTTGTATGAATTCATCTTCAAAGAGCCTGGCATCTGTCTGAAAATATCTGCAAAAGCTCATTCCAAATATGGTATCATGTCGGTATCGTACGATTGCTATTTCTGTAGCAGGGGGGCTGTTACTATCGGCTTTTAAGCTCTTTAAAGTCTAGACTCGAGGTTAATCACTTTTTAGAAAGATAAAGCACAGCGTCAGTCCTCCTTGCAGCAGTTTCCGTCGATCGCCTACTTTGATTGTAATGGATTGTTTTTGTTTTCGTAAGCACTGTTTATATCTTAGCAAGCTGCATATTCTGTGTTATTCATATATCGTTTTTGAATGTTTATAAGATTTTATGTGAATAATCTAATGGGGTGACCATATTGTGTTGCCCTCTGTGATTGGAGACAACTTTTCGCGTATAAACACGCTGTCTCTAGACAAAACCAAACTGCTGGTATGGTTCCTCGGGTTATATTCCTTCGTGTCTGTTTGATAAATGTAAAGTATAAAATTYTAAAGCCGTATAAAAAGGATAATTATTGCGTATCTGCAAATGTCTCTACACTATGTTGAACAACGTACTTCAAACCGTTTTTTGGCGGGAAAAAAGTCATTTAAAAATGCCTCAGCATTTTGATGAGCAAGCAATCAGTATTATATAATAGATTTTTACCATTCGAATTACAAGTTAACATAGTTAACCTCTGCCAATGTGCAACGGTTTTAGATGGATAGACAACTTTATGTACAAACTCAGGATAGTCCCGTAGGGCGACCCGTTCGTGYTTTATTTTATTGGGATATTTAAATCGCGGTCGGGATGAGAATCTATATTATATGTCCGTTAAAACAAGTATTCTGGTGATTTTTTTWAAGTATATTACACCATAATGTTGGGCGGAGGTCATTATCGAGTAATGATCGATAGGGGTACCAAAGTCCATGCTAGGGCGTACAGGTCTTGGTCGTCAAGTGGGTCTCTCTCAACGAAATACGACAATTTGCACAACTAGGGAAATCGCAATGGAAATGTGYATAGGCAGGAATATGTTATACGATTGTGGACATGATTCAGCCGATAGTGACTAAATGCAGGAGCGAAGATACAATCAGCAGTTTTCAGCAATCTTCTCATTTATAGGATATGATTGNGACTGAGCCAAACGCTACTGCCGTAAAACAACAAACCGGTACACAACATCCATATATGGCTATAGTTGAATTTGCTGATTCGAAAGACTTCACGATCCGCTAGACTCCTCCATTATCGTCGAGCATAAATTATGTTGTAGTCACGCTAATTAGTACAATGAAAAATGATGTAAACTCAAACGATGAGAAGATGCCCGAAGTTCAACTGTAAATTGTTATTTTTGAAGGTCACTGTTAAGTTGTGCAAAAAAAAAAAAAAAAATGAAATGAATGAAGTTTCAAAGTAACATTAACTTGATTAGGATCGAAGGATTATTGATGAATAGCATAAATTATTGAAATATTATTAGATTATTAAAGATATTTGTTTAATTTGAGAGCGATCAATATCTTACTTTCCGGCTTTTTAAGCCGCACTGGTTTAAAGCTGTCGAGATTTGTTTTTCCGGGCTACAATGCTCGTCACTACTGGGTCATATCAATTGCGTTAAACAGGCCGCAGACAGTTTTTTTTTTTAATTCAACGAGGATTTTACCGACAAATTCCGGGACAAACAAAAACGGAAAAGATCATTCACTCACATACTTTCCCTCCCACACAACCGTCTAACCATCGCAATTCAGCTGACTATTTTGACTGCAGACTTGTTTTTTTTGGCTTATATGGTTCTCGATGAGTTTGCGGTTATAACCAGACAGCGATGAACTTGAAATAGAAAACCTCAACATTACTTCATGTTCCCTTGAATGAGCGATTCTACATTGCTTGTTTTCTTTAAGTATTGTATGTTTTTTTAGTAAAATGCTCTAGATCTTTCCCTGATCTCTGTTTTCTGAATTCTCTGCCTTSMMKTTGMCATAATGTGAGGTCAACACTCGMGTCGTATCCAAACTGTTATTTTCCGGGAGTTGAAAGGTTACTCTACCTGGTGGAGTTTTTAAAGAGAGTTAAATCTACTCTATAATCAACTGGGAAAGAGAGTCAAAATTACTAAGGGGTTCAGTTGGTTCAGAATAGAGCTTTTACGTCATGTACCGTAATACGAAATGCATTGTTGGATATATTTGGGACTTGGCGGATTCTTTTGTTTTCACTTGAAACTGATCCCACAATGCATTGAATATCAAGTAGCTAGTGATGTAAAAGGTTCAGAAGTCTATTTACTCCAGGAGTTATGTGATATTTTCTTTTTACTCCTCTTTTAGAGAGTTACATCAAGTCCTTGAACAGTACACCTTCAAACACTTTAAAATTCTTTAATTTAAYTTGCTCAACATAACTCTTCGTCTACCAGAATTCCAGAGACAATCAACGTCCGCAGAGGAGGCTAAGTTTATCTTATGATTGTAGTATCGGAAATGCTGGAATGATATTAACGAATTAATGCCGACTTAACTACGATATGACTACGACTACAATACGACCATAATACGACCACTGTACGATCCAGTACGATATGAGTGACGACGATACAATGACACCGATAAATATTAAAAATGAACATCAAGAATGACAACAATCAGGTAATTCTGCGATGCGGAGTGAATATAGTCATTTCCTTTCAATTAATTCTATTTCTTTATCTCAGTCTTGTTATGAATTATTACTTCCTAAAACTTGTACATCAAGGGAAAACACACCGCGAAGGTAAGACTACGAGGAGCCTTCCCGGCAGTCTTGGCAAACCGTAAATGAGTCAAAACGGAAGACGCGATAAACGCCCGCGATGATTCATGGTTGCACTATAAGTGATTCGCAAAGACTACCGATGAGCTTCCGCTTCTGCATATTCTATGATAACAAATTTATCTTGGCTTTATCTGGCTTCCTGTTTTCTTTTGACGTGCTTATTCGTCGTCCTTASCCTGGAGGCTYGTATTTCTTTATGTATTTTTGCCCTTAAAGCTTCGAGACGTTTAGAGAGAGAGAGAAAAAAACGTTTGTTGAATTATATTGTTCATCTGACTAGCGATGGTACATATTTTAAAAACGTACATGTACCATCGCTAGTCAGATAAACAATATATAATTCAACAGAGTACAAAGCACTATAACGTCGCCTACAAATGAATCAAACATACAGTAGTTATAGATGGGGCTGTTCGTGCGTCTTTGCGTCTCCGTCGTGTCATATCGAGGAAATGGAAATKAGAAAAGCAGCAGTTGAAATTTCCAGCGCTTTCTCGATATCTTTTTAAGTCTTTTTGAGCCGCACGCTCCGTCACACCCATTTTTTGTAGTCACAAATCTTCGCGATAAAACCTCAACTACCGAATAGAGCGCCGACGCGGGGTTAGCTCGGTACCCTTATCTTCTCTATTACTGGCTGCAGTCCTWCCTTGTTATCTTATGTTATTGATTCGTTTGGAAGGAAAACGGAAGTAGTTGATCAGATATAGATCAGTTATAGGTCATGAGAGGTCTGAGGATCTCAGTCTGGTGTGCATTTTTATATTTTAAGGAGTTATATATGGCTTACTTTAATCAAATGGATTGAAAGTTAAGTTTAAAAATAGTTTTGAACGTCAGGAGCCTGTTTGAACTAAGTTCAAAATGATAGCGTTATGGTCTCAGCGTGAACATTCCAGGTAGAAGTTTTACGTCATTTTGCGTGGCAGGAAATATGACGTCACTAAGCACCATGCAAAAGTACGACGTCATCGTGCGTGATAGAAGATCATGAAGCCAAAAACAGTCCTATACAAATCTGTAGAACTAAACTTTTAATTTGTGATAAAGGTAGATACCGTTATACAAGAACTATTCTAGTAATTCTCACGAGGATATTGATATTTCTAATGGATTGTTTGAATTCTCTCGCGCTGATTTGGTGTCTTGTGACAGGACATAAACACTGTACTGTATCACCATCACTTTTCGTGCGTGCTCAGTAGAATGCCCTCTTGACACACTCTTATTGACATCACAACTTGTTCAAGACTTTACAGCGAGGCCACCCGCTGCGCTCGTGGGTCCACTCGAGTTTTGAGCATTTTGTGAGTTAAGATTGTGTGTATTTTTATATTGACACAATCTTAACTCACAAAATGCTCAAAACTCGAGTGGACCCACGAGCGCAGCGGGTGGCCTCGCTGTAAAGTCTTGAACAAGTTGTGGCAGGGGTTATTTCCCCCTCTCAACCTCGGTTTTACTTTTGAGTAAGTCATGTTAATATGGCAATAATGCTTGCTTATTCAGTATTGATATGTTTTGTTTTCAGACAAAAGGACTCAATACTAGTGGAATAACAGCTAAAGTTTAGGCTGGAGACAAATAATCCTATGGTCCAAGATTTTCTGGAAAAAATTGTAGAAGTCAAAGAAGGAGTCTCTCAATCTGTTAATGGCTAAAATTCAGTCAGCCACACCTTTTTTCAAGACTTCCCCCGGGAGATGGCGTTCATGAAAACATTTTCAAAGTTCATATATCTAATGAAGCCTCCCTCATTATCACTGGAAAAAATGGCGCGCTTTAAAGGTTGTAAATTTGATGTAAGTGTCCCAAAATTCTGTAAATTTGATGTAAATGATTTCCATTAAATTTACAGAGTTTTGGACACTTACATCATATTTACATCAAATTTACAACCTTTAAAGCGCGCCATTTTTTCCAGTGTATCATTAGCATATTGTAAGATTGAACCTTCAAAACTCAAAGACGCAACACTGAAATGCAGGAATATTTCACCATTCAATTATTTAWAAATTCCTGCATTTCAGTGTTGCGTCTTTAAGTACTTTTTAAAGAATCACTTCACAGAGAACCAGCAATTATTGTGTCAGGCGTCAACATAGAAACTTTAAACCCACATGTTGTGTGTTATTGATATTTTTTGCATTTTTACAGTAATAAGCCTTTTTCCCGTTCAATGCGAGCAACCGCTGTTGTAGACAACAGAAGACAAAAAAAGCACAAAAAATGTTGACATTACAATAGCTTTAGACTAGACTTGAATATTCTCCAATTTGAGGCTTATAAGCCAGAGCAAGAGTTTGAACTTTTCTGGGAATACAGAATCGGAGAAAATTCAAATTTATAGGGCTATTGTAATGACAGCATTTTTCTTGCTTTCTTTTGTTTTTGGTCAGGTCACTGAGAATGTTGTCAACTAAATCAGCGGTTGCTCGCTTTGAACGGGATAAAGGCGCATTGCTGTGGTGTACTATAACATAACTGCATGAAATATCACACTTGTCTGCAGTATAATATTGTTTAATTAATGATTTCTACAAAAAGTACTCAAATACACCTTATCTACAATCTTACGTTAGGCCGTTTGCATTATGACGTAACTTTACTACAACTACCAGAGAGCCTTGCGCATTTTCATTGTAATTCAGATTTTTAATCCCCTTGGAGATTAATAAAACAATTGGCACTAATTACATTACAAAAGAAAGTTGGCAAAGCATTCTGGTAATTGTAGTAAATGACGTCATAATGCATATCGCCTAATTACACCTTGTCTACATCACAAGGACCTTGGGCTCCCTGTGTCTATATTACTAGAATTCCAAATATGTACTTTTATAGTGATGTTGATAATTTGTACACGTGATTTTTCATTGAACGCTGAAACAGTGAATTTCAAAATAAAATTTATTAAAAAAAACTCGTTATGTGGAACCTGAAAAAAGTTTGACGTCTTAAAATCAATGAAAATATGCATCATGCAACACTTCCCTCTAAGATATCCCTATTTGTGATGATGTAATTTTGTGTCTAGCATTTCCAACACTTTTGCTTTGTATGATATAAACYCCTTACAGTCCATGGTTTGGCAGCTCCATCTAGGGGGCAAACAATGATATTTYCTTGAAACAAACATCTTGTTTTATCCCCAGGTGAAGCTGCTTTGACATTACATGGACTTGTCTGTTAGCTGTGGTAGCCTTTTGTCTATTGTTTTTATCAGTGAAGTACCATAAACCCGTGAAACAAAACTTGACTATCTGCTTGCAGCCAAACCAAAACTTGGTTGATAGTCAAATAGGCACAAATTAAAACATGCAATCAGAGCGCATTACGGTGTGGTTTCACTGGTTTTTTTTTTTACTTCACTCTATATTAAGAATCAAAATTATTACTTGATTGTTATTGACTGAAAGCACTGCTGTCCTGATSTCACACCAGAAAATAAAATAAAAAATGTATAAAACTTATTTGAATTGTATTGGACAAATTTTGAGTCAATTTAAAGGTTTATCTGTTTGGTATAGCATTGTGCATTGCATTATGGTCCAGATTCAGTACGAACATCAAAAAGATGTTGAAAAAGATGGGTGTAACACCTGTTTTTGCTGTTAAAAACATTATCAATCTAACAAAAATCATGAAAAAATGTTGTCATTACAATAAGATATACACAGACATTGAGATTTCATATGTGCCCGTAATTTGTAGCAATTCAGCAATAGCATGAGTGTAAGTAAATAATGAATTGTGCTAACGATTTGCATTTTCTCTAAATTGAGACTAATGCTGTATTCTGGCCTAACATTTAGTCATCTACTTATTATATTCAGTTCAAGAAAATTTCAATTTTTACTACTGACAGCAGTATTTTCGTCTTCACACAAAATCGCCCCATAACCCGGAATCCAGAATCCAACAATCTGGTACTGGAATCCAGAGCTSACAGCTATGGAAAAGAAATCTGACAAAACAGTAGGAATCTGGAATCCAAACTCATAATTTCAAAAATGACGCCAAAAATGATAGTATGCTTTGCATTCTGAGACAAATATGGTAAAATAAAGAATCCATGCAAAATTTGTCATGGAATGTGGAATCTAGGAGCTTGGAATACAGAATCAAGGAGCTTGGAAATGGAATCCAGGAACATTGCAGATTACATGTCCTGGGGTGAGCAAAAKAATCTATTGTCAAATAAAACAGCAGTAACTGTACATGCTCTTTGCACAGAAAAAAATGTAGTTATTGTATATTTTAAATATAAATTCCCTAAAAAGCATGTACAAATGTAACAAAGGTAGTAGGAAAATGACTGTAGTCAGKGTYTGTTGATGSTCCTTTTGTAAAAGCAACTAAAGYAGAAGATCATTTACATTATTCTTACACATGAGTCTCTAACACTCTGCACTGGTGAAAACCATAAAACCCAACCATACAAAGAGTTCAGTATATACATTGGAAGCTTGCAGGGTTTTAAATTCACCAGCTTTGAACCAGCATATTTGATTGCATCTGTGAATAATGTTAAGGTTGATCAACAATAGAAAATTATTAGTGATTTAACTCATGAGAAATATAGTGATTTCTGTAATCAAATCAAATGATTTAAAGAAGTTCAGGTAGGGGGATCCCCCTTTGAACAGGGAAGGGGATGCACATTGTTCCTTTTAGGAATGTGTTTTAGGGACTGCCTTGGTGTGAATGACCATCAGTGACATTGTTGTACCTTTTAGAATTAAATAACAAAGGTTTCTTTTCAAKGATGTTTATTTATCTTCTTTAATGCTAGTATTAATCCATAAATCTCAATCTCAGTGATACTGATATGTTTCAAGCTTTTCAGAATCCTATTTTTGGTTTCTATACACAAACCATTCTAATAAGATTACAGTCTCTCTATAACAAAACCAAAAGCCAAGCAGAAGAAACTGTTGTAAAGATCCTTTTCTGAGTGAAACTTCATTGCTACCACACGCATCAACAGCAGGTCCTTTTAAGGTCAACAATTTCAGCTAGCAACCCCACCCYYTWGTATATGYACACATAGTACTGTGAATCTGGTCTACAGGTYTACTGGTCAAAAAAAGTATTCTTCTTCTATTCTGGTTATAAACAAATTGCACACAATTTTCATCAAATCTCCRCTAAACATTTCTATCCATGATCATCTTTCAATTCTACTCAAAAATGAAGGAATGAGATTTCTCTTAAAATGTCTGATTAACATTTATTTGAACTCATTGAAGCCAGAAATCATTTTGKTTAATTTTTTCATGTACAACATCCTCTTTAGTAATGCTCTAGCTTGATGTAATTAAATGTTAAAACCCTCTTGAGATTTGGACGTCATTTTATGACAGTACCGAGAGAGAGAGAGAGAGAGACAATGACAACACCAAATCATGCATAACAATCATTTAACTTATAACTTGTTTAAATTAAGATAAGGATATGAGAAGGTCCAGGGTGGTTTACCACCATTTATATACAGTACATATAGACAGCCATCTCTCTGTGTTCCATTGATAGCRTAATACATAGGCAGATAGCTAAACATCCTAAAACATCTTGTCTCATAGAACCTGATGGCAGCCATATTGGAAGATAGAACATGGAGGTATATAGCTTTACAGTCTTGTTGTTCTGGAGTRGTCAAGTTGGAGATTAAGCTATCCAAGAGCAATGAACCTAGTGAACAAGAATAATCAATGGAAAGTTAACAAACTTCCTAACTTACAAAATGATGTCCAAAGTTCAACATTTCTTATATTACACTTTACTTGTATACATGAATCTTGATTTGTAAGATACAAAGAAAGAAAAAACCTCTAAAGGCCAACATACACACAGGAGCTTGCTTCAGTAATAAGCTCCTGCAGCATGCTGCAACATACAAAGCCCCCTCGTCTGTACTGACACAGTGGCACATACAACAAACCTCCAGCATCAAATTGTTATGGGAGCATGTTTCAGGAGCAAGCTCATTCGTGCTAAGCCTTAATTGGAGCAAATTAAGAGTTAGACTTAACATATCATTTAACAAATTTAGTGATTATTGTATGTTAGTGTTTTACCAATTTTCTGCCTTCTGTATTCTTTAGCAACTCCAATACTAAGAATGTATGCAACTTGGTAGTTATCTTGATAAGTATATTCAAGTATCCCAGAATCCTAAAATCAAAMAAATTAATATTTACTACATTGTTTTTGAGAATTTTTTAAAGTTTTGTCATTAATCATGTCCTCTGATTATTCCTCCAGCAATCRATTTGATAAATGACCAAAGTTTATTCTAAATTTTTCTARCTATTCATTTGTTCATTMATTCATTTCTTTTTGCATATTCTCATTTTGCTCTAAGTCACAAATGAAGGGCAAACGTCATGTATTCATTAATTTATAAACAGCTATTTRATTTTTTCATTCTACATTCCTTCCTTCATTTGTTCATAATTKATTCATATATCAAAAAAATCACAATTCACAATATAAACCTCTTTGTTGCACATTAATCTTGGCTTTACTTCAGCGACAACAAGACCAATGATCGCCTTGGCATGTGTGGCTGCCAAAGAGAAGAATCTGGGATTTGTTGTTATCTCGTTGTACCATGTATCAGGATACCTACAAAWCAAACCACATTACAACATCTTGATGATACCTACATGTACAACAATTTTATCTGATGGTAATAATGACTTTTGTCTGTTGGACAGATCTATTCACACTTAGTACAACTGGCCGCAAGTAAATGGAAAATGGTATGTTAATTATCAATTAGTAGCAGAAGCATTACATCAGTGCAGTATAACTACAGAAAATGTGACASTGTTGGGACATTTACATGACATTGATATACACGTAKGGGGRAAGMATTATCCATATTTCAAAAAACAACAACAATTTACTAAATGCAATGCCCTGCAAAAATCTAGAATTCCTTTGCTTTACTTTCTTCCCGTTTATTTCATTGCTGCTGGTAATGAATTATTTTAGTTTTCTTCTTTCTAATTAGACTTCTTTCACTTGAAAATCAGTCTAAAAATGCATATGTATTGTTCCGAAAAGAAAGGTWAGTGATCATAACACAGTCTTTCCTGCTTTTATAAGCTTACTTACTTTATTTTTAGCTGATTTATAAAACAAGCCATCAAAGTTGACAACTCCACTTTGATCTCAAATAATAGAGCCATAACATGGTTTACATATTATTTTCTAATACAATGATRAAGGAATTGTAGTTTTTGCACAAGATATAGTACATATTAGTAGAGGTATAACTTACTCGATTGGAAACCATTCTCTGCAYAGCCGTTTAACCTCTTCGACATCGTCTGCACACAAAAATCGAAGTTGTACATCGTTGATGAGTGCCAGATTTGCTGTCATTCAAGACCGATGAATTCTCAACTTTCTACATAAAGGATAAAAAATATTTCGTTTTTCAAAGAAAACGAAGAAGCCGAAAGAAGTGTCAAAACATGCTTTACAACTATTCAACATCCGCCATATTTAACWTGTATGCTCGCGATATGTCGACGGATCTACGATAATAGCCCGAATTATTTTCGGACTTACCTCGCGTCATTCGGAAAGAACGAGTATATTTCGGCATATGGGAGGAGCTCACGGAAAGGTGACGATGACGTACCGAGTTCTAAATATAAACTTAAATTAATCGAATTCCTGACGGAAATTGTCTTTGACGCACAGTCTTGAGGACCGTCGAGAATCAAAAGATTTTTTAGCCGTGGGCAGCCGTGGCAAGCAGTGAATTACGTGAGTGTAAACATCAGTGTTTCATAGATATTTTTGTGAACACATTTTGTCTTTTGAGTTCCAGCTGAACTAGTGAAGGGTCACGTACTCCATTTAAGCTTACTGTGTGCGTCAGAATTTTCAGTTTTAAGATGCTCTTGCAACAAAAACTTCAAATTATTTTATTTCCTATGGAATTAGGATAGATATATTTATGTTCATTTTTGTATGTCTTAAAACCTGCGTGCTAGTTGGCTTTTACTATATAATTAAACCCCTTTCAGCTTTCTGATATCTTAAAGTTCCCATTTTTTCACATTTCATTATTTTGCAATTACACGTATTGTTTAATTTCACATACAAATGATAAGTGCAAGATGAATGATATCATATGGAAAAARTAAATTGATTTAGCGAGAAAGTCAACTCTTGCCTTAYAGACACCCCGTTACAATGGACACCTCAATATTGCGGACAGTAAAATACTGAATCCCTGGCAAAAAATACAGAGAAATGACTGAAAATAACTCTCGTTACTACATACTTTGTTGCTGCGGACACAAAATTACGATCCCGAGGGTGTCCGTAATAGGAAGAGTTAACTATTAACTGGGATATTTGTCTTTTTCATGTCCAACCCCAAAATGCTTTCTTTTTCTTAATGAAACTGCAGAATACGAGTGCGAAAGGTTAATATTACATAAGGCTTTAATCTAAAGCAAGTTCTGAAAAGAATTAARCCAGAAGTCAAACATTTGTAGGACAATATAGTTATCAACTCTTCCAATTAAATCAAAAATACCGTAACACTTTATGTATTGTTCACTACGTTATAATGTTGAATAATATTATTTTTTTTCTTATTTAAGGCTTTTATGGCTAGTGTGTCAACAGTCAAGCTCTTTTTGGTTGGTGATGTCATGTTGGGTCGTGGAATTGACATGATTCTGCATAATCACAATGATCCTATCTTGTATGAAGGGAATGGTCTTAATGCTAAGGACTATGTGCATTTGGCAGAGCAGCAAAATGGACCAATACCTGAAGAATGCAAGCGGGGCATTGATTATGTATGGGGGGATGCAATTGAAATATTAAAAGACAAGAAACCTGATGTAAGAATGATAAACCTTGAAACATCAATTACAACAAGCAGTACRCCATGGCCRATGAAAGGAATACATTATCGCATGCATCCAGATAATGTTWATGTTATTGCTGCTGCACAAATTGACTGTTGCATCCTTGCAAATAACCATGTTGCTGACTGGGGCTTTGAAGGGTTAAACTCAACTCTKACAACACKGTCAGAATCAAGTATTAAGTATGCAGGGGCTGGGCATAATCCASAGGAAGCCCAGTCACCAGCCATCTTTGATATTGCAGACAAGGGCAGGGTGCTTGTTTTTGCTGGAGGCCATCATACTAGTGGAATACCTGATGAATGGAAAGCAACAAATCACCATGGCGGAGTAAATGTCATTGAGATTTTAAACACTAAAAAGTCTGTTCAAGAATTGAAGAGTTTGGTGTCCAAGCATAAGCAAGAGAATGATGTTGYAGTCCTTTCTCTTCAYTGGGGAGGAAACTGGGGATATGATATTCATTCATCTTTTAGGAAATTTGCTCATTCAGCTATTGACAAAGCTGGTATAGATGTCATTTATGGTCACTCCTCTCATCACGTCAAAGGAATGGAATGTTACAATGGCAAATTAATCATCTATGGTTGTGGTGATTTCTTAAATGATTATGAAGGTATAACAGGTCATGAGGAATTCCRTGATGATCTTGCTTTGATGTACTTTGCTGATATTGACTGTAAAAATGGGAAATTAGTTGATTTATGCATGGTTCCCACCCAAACAAAACACATGAGAGTAAACCRTGCCCCAGAGGAGGGCATCAAATGGCTGTATAACACTATGAAAAGGGAGTGCAAGAAAATGGGATTAMAAATTGTACAACAGCAGACTGAGCTGCATGTGGCTGGAATTTTATAGATGGTGCTATATTTGAAGAATGAACTATGGCAGAAAGGGGTTGATGCTTGCAAGGGAACTGCATAACAAACSTTTTTGAAATAGTTGAGTTTCTGGATCTCTTTTACGCTGTGTTAGCCTCAACTGTGTGCAAGATATTCAGAACTTTTCAGGGATGCCAACCCCCGAACTTTTCAAATCTTGAGAACGAAAATGATGACATCATACCGGAAATGACGTTTCATAACATTATCGATGACGTCATTGCATTTATTAAATTTCGTTATAACTAGTGATTTGACTGGATGTATCTTAACCAATCATATTATAGATTGTATTGTGCAATTGAAAATGGCCGCGGATGGCGTGCAGTGTTATCAGAAGACTGGGATTTTTGTATTTTTTCAGAACTAAAATGATATGCAAGGTAATTTGAGTTTTAATAGATGAAAAGAGATATATCAAAAAACTGATATATGAATCGTCATTATCCGGGAGATTTAGCGGTAAAATCTTGAGACCGGGAGAAACGGTCGAAAATCTTGAGACTCMCKGATTATCCGGGAGAGTTGGCATCCCTGACTTTTGATAAAACTCGTGAAATTTCAAACTATTTCCATTGTCTTCTCTACTCATGGATATCTTCCATTTGCACGGGCTGTTAGTTAATAAGAGAATTTATTACATGGTTTTGTGGCTAAAAGAGCATAAAAGAGATCGCTAAAAGAGTTATTGCTCTTTCTAACACTTTGTTGAATGACAAATGGACAATATGTAGAATTCGATTTGTATATGAACCATTGCTGTCAATCAAGTGAAGAGCTTTGTCTTTACAGGCTGATTGCTGTGAATGACTGGAATATAGCTGCATCAAACTGCTTGACATGTACGTAACTGTAAAAAATAATATTTCTGATAATTTATTATTATTTTTTGTATCTACATTATGCTAGTCCTCTATAAATATGTATAAAAAATGTATAGTCTATATTTCTGGTAATTTGCTACAAGCTTGTATTTTTTATGCAATGAATAAATTTATACTATTGTATTTTTTGTTTTTATGTCTGTATGCTAGTCCTCCATACATGTAAGTTTTTCCCCTTAACGTGCACAAAAATGCAATCTTGTACCCCACTTACTTTTTTTTGGCCATCTTATAAACGTAATAAATTGAAGAACGAATTTTCATAATAATCAAATTAAAAGGATCATTTTATACATTAGATATTGACCTACAAAAATTGTATAGTTATTTGATTTTGATTTGCTTSGGTTCTCTGTGTATTGTTGTCGGAGGAAGACTGTACCTGTCGTGTTCAGTCTCTCCGCTCCTTTTCAAAACAAACATGGCGGTTTTTACGAACTCAGTTTTCGAGAACTTTTTTAAAGTTTTAAAACTAACGTGAAATGTGCTCAAGCTGAACATATTGTTTAAAGACACTGAGAAAATTATGAGTGTAAAGGACTGTTTAGAACGTTTTTGACGTTCGCAGACGGCCAAACATGGCAAAAGCTGATGAAAAAAGTTTGAATTTGATTGATCTTGTGGAGCAGAAGGAGAAAGAGTGGAAAGATGCACAAGAACTTCGTGTTAAATCACTWCAGCTTTCKCTTAAAGAACAAGAAAAAWTAATTAACARMGAGAAAACTCGCTTTAGGAAACTCAAAGAGGATTTTGAATACAATTTAAAGTTGCTTKCTGAAAGAGATCAAGAACTYGAGAAATATGAYGTGTTGTTTGCAAAGTATAAAAACCTTGAAAGCGAGCGGGACGGGCAAGTGAGTGAGTTGAAGATTAAACTAGATGACCTGCAGTCTAGACTTCTGCAAGAGGAGAACTCGAGAGAGGARCTTCAAAAGTACTATCAACAAGTAAGCATATTTTACCTGTAATGTGAAAAAAATCGATTCTTTTCTCATTGTTTTTTTTAGTGGTATTTTGAATGTCTTCATTCTGTACTTAATTTTTGACTGTTGATRTGTTGCGGTAGTTGGATTCCAAGTTCTTTGCAAAATGTCAGTGACATGTCAGTTTTTAATAATGTATTATATATATATATATCATTTTTAAATTTTCATTGAATATGTTAATTAGAGACTCAAAGATCATCAAAATGACATGCAGCAGTTTGTCATTGCCAAAGAATCAGAGGTTAAGAAAGAGAGAGATAATTTAGAAAAGTTTAAAAGAGAATTACAGCTTCAGCTAAGGTAAATTCACTTTACATATTACACTAATTTTAATGTCAAAACCTGTTTATAGCCATTTTGTAGTTACATGTAATAAAACAGCATATAGATGCTTGATAAAATTTTTACAGTTATTAATTATGAAAGTAAGAAAAAATGTACTAGCTGAAGGATAATCACCTCGGGTTTGGACTTGATGGTGTCAAAGATCGGCCTTTAGGACTTGAAATTACAAGTGATTCGGTGTACATTAAAAAGTGCTGGAGACAGAATTTCAGTTTCATGATATCAAACAAGAATGATATCTAAGGAATTAAGTTGCATACATTCTGGCATGTAATGAATAATTATTTGTAATATTGATCTTTTTTTATGTCTAAAATAATTCAATACATTTATCATCAAATGACTGATTGAAGCAATAATGCAATCAATGTTAAGATTAGCGGAAGAAGACATGGATCAGCAGCGTCATTTAATGATGTCTGGCTATGATGATGAATTACACAAACGAGAGCATGAATATCGTCTCAAGGCTGATGAAATGAGTAGCAAACTCCTGGAAAAAGACTTGAAGGTGGGAAATCATGATCTTTTTTTAATTTTAATTTATTTTAGAATTTATGATTTGTTTAAATTTTTTTCTATTTTAACTAATCACCATTAGCACAAAACAATGGCTTCGTTCAAGGCTGGAGTTTTCAACAGAAGATAAATGAACTCTAGTCTCAACTTGAAGCCTTTGTTTCTTGTTCATCCAAGTGAGTGTGTGATAGGTTCTATTGTGTTTACATGTTTTACTTGAATGTGATGTAGGTTAAAATGCTATCAAAAGAAGTAGAAATACTGCGTTCATATGAACAACAAACCAAGACTGATCTTAGAACAACAGAAACAACAGTRCAAGAACTAGAAAAGAAATTAAAACAAAAAGAATTGGAAATCATGGATAATGAAAATATGCACAATGCAAAGATAAAYGATATGGTGTTAGAAGTACAAAGACTCAAAGYTGTCATGAAGAAATCCCAGGATTCCTTTCAACACAAGCAAAGTGAGCTTGATCGTTATGCTAAAGAGAAAGAATCKGCTCTTCTTGCAAGTAAAGAAGTATGTCAATCGTATCGTTACCCAATGCTAAGCCTTGTTATTATATACTATGAATTCCTACCAGTAAACTGTGAAAGTGCAATAAACTTCTGAACCTTTTATGTCACTACTTTATTTTCAATGCATTGTGGGATCAATTCCTAGAGAAAACAAGAGAAATCCGCCACGTTTTGTCCCAAACATATCCTACAATGCATTGCGTATACAGTACATTATGTAAAAGCTTCAGAGGTCTATAATAATAGCAATTATTTACATCATGAGGAAAACGCAAAAGAAATCTAACCATGAAGAAGTTTGTTGAATACAATACAGAGTCATGCTGATTTGCACCTTTRGATTGGACAAATTGTTTATCAAAGATTTTAGTCTGAGTAACCTTAAGAAACAAGCTACATGTTTGTTTAAGGTGTAATGTAATAGTTCAGGTCAAACTCGTGCAAAATGCTATACAACTCTCAATAGCTTCACAAGGGTTTTRATTTCAATGTCATAGCCAAACCCTTTTTTCATTGCTTCGATGGAAGACTTCTTGAAATAAGAAATGGAAAAAATTAAGTGTTGCTAGTGTGGCATTGTATATCTGCTACATAATGACCACTTTCAATATCTTTGTATTGTTGTACGTAAGTATCACTCTACATGAATACTGTTACTAGGTGCATGAACAGAGAGAGCGTCAGCTTGAAGACACCATTYGTGAGCTACAGAACAGGATAGAYACCGCTGAGGTTGAGTGCCGCCGTATGGAGTGGGAAGCAAGAGACACTGAGAAAGACAAGGAGCTACAAATAAGTAGGTGGGTGTCTGTCTTATGAATGAAGTACATGAAGAATCTGTCCTTTGAATAGTGTCTGTCTGTCCTTCTTTACTCCTACGAAGGATTAACGTCCGAAATGTCAGTTATTTCACCTACGTTTAAGGTGTTAAATTTATCTTTTTATGCAACTGTCCATTTTTGAGGTGGATATCCATCAAATGCTATCTTGTAAAAAATCTGTACATTAATTTTTGAATCTATTTTTTGTTCATTGTTTTATTGTTATGCTTGTCTGATATTCAGACTTCAAAAGATAATCTCTGACCTTGAAGAAAARCTCAGTGCACAGGCCAACAAATTTTCCCAGTCATCAGTGTCTAAGGACCTGGAATTAGATGCACTGCGTCAACAGGAAGAGAAGCTACGCATGGATGTTGCTCAAAAGACAGCTGATATTGAACGGTACTGACCTAGAATATTTTGCAATACAATTAATATTCAATTTTAAATTAATAATAGTCAACACTTACTAGTAAATGAGATGAGATTTGGCCATCTGTTTACTTCCAAGACAAGAGAATTCTTTGCATATTTTCATTGTTATTCAGATTTTAAATGAGATTTTAAWTTTTTTTGGTACTAATTACAGAAGGAAATGGGCCAAGCATTCTGATTTTGGTGGCTTGTCATGATTTTGGAAAAAATGGCTGGACAATTTAACATGAATGAATCATTGTTGTTCATATGAAAAATTGTTGTTCATTGACATCAAAATATGATGGGAACCCATCAAATGTTTGTATGTTCTGCTGTTACATGTAGCATTTTAAAATGAACTGCATGTAGGAATTTCAATTGATTTGGAATGAAATCTATCATTAGGTACAAAAAGGATGTTGCCATGGCAGCAGAAAGAGAATCCAGTTCTGAACGTGTCAAAGCACAAATTGAACTGGACTGGCAGCGAAGATGTGARGATGCTGAAAGAGAAGCTTACGMAAAACAAGAACAGTTGATACGCAATCTCACAAAGACAAAGGATGAGGTACAATGTCTTCCCTCGATACAATGAATGCTGGCTTATCCAATGAATTATTATATATTTAAGTGATTTAATTAATAACAACACAAAATGATGCAAGATTGTGTCAAAACTTCATTTTGAACCCCCTGGGGGTACTCGACCCCATTTTGGATAGGTACGTGCTGCCAGTGGTCTAAAACCCTGACCCTGTTTAAGATACTAGAAAGTAAAAATCCACACCCTGTTCAAGACAATTTGGAAAAATAAGAAATCGCTATCTACGCCGCAACCATCCCGTATAGCAAATATATGGGAGTACCCCCCCCCCCCCCCCTGGGCTTGAACCCCATTCAAAGCTGATTTCTTTCAGCTTGTTGTTAACCTTCAATGTAACTTGGATGGATTAAAAATCTTTGGGTTGCCAGAGTGTATAACTCATGCACAACTTTTTGTTGAAGATGTCATTCTGTATTTACAATTATTGTAAAGACTCAGCTTGATCATCTTGTTTTTATACACTTTACTTTACATTTCTTTTACATTTAATCAGACTTGTCCAAAAACATGCATATTATTGTAAATGGAAAGATTTTGTGCAGTGGCTACAATTAGCATGTACATGTACTACTTTGGTACTTGAGTACACACACTAGTGGAAAAACAAATTTCATTTGCTATTAACACTTATTTTTACTCACTTGATAAATAGAGGTTATTACATGGGTAAACAGAGATTTGTATTATACTTTGGAAAAAGATTTCAGATCTCAGATCTCTTCAACATGAGAATATAAAATTCTGATTATCATATAAACTGTCTATGGAAGCAAACTGTGTTTTAAAATAACATTAAATACTTTTATACCACGAATGTGTTGTTTTCACAAGTGAATACAGTAAATGCAAATACATAAAAAAGACATGAATAACCTTTAGATTTTTGATTTCCTTTAGTTTTGAGTTAATATGATATATGATAATATGATAATTTTGAATAATTTCGGAAATTTCCTTTAGGGGAATCCCCGAAACGCTTGTCACGCAACTGTAAAATTTACTTAATAACTGCCGTAATCTCGTTTTCTTTCTAATGTTGCCATCCTAGATTTACACGTAAATCATTGCTCTCTTCGAGCAGAGTCTTGTAGTAAAGCGTATTGACTGTTTAGTTAGATGTCTGATGAAGGTTGCTCTTGAGGGACTGTACCAATCCACAATCTTAATAACAGCTCCTCCACACTKTGACAGTTTAACTYGAACATCATTTGGTCGACCCAGTTTTCGAGAACCTCTGTCAACTCTTTCTTAAGTATTGTCAACGCGTTTTCTAATTCCTGTTGATTT